TTGCTGTTTTTGGCAAACTTTGGATTATTGTGGGATTCTAAGTAACTGAATATGCGATTTATATAAACAAAAAATTGCGCTGTGTGAAAAAGATCTTTTAGCTGCCAAAAGAGTGATAAGTGAGCCGAGATGGCGCTAGAGCCAAAACACATTTTCCCTCTTTTCAAATTTCCTTTCAACATGATTCCAGACCTTCTCCAGTGTTCACCAGCGTCCGAGCGGTAAAATCGTTGAACACTGAAAGTTTGGTCCGAATCTCGCGAACGACCTGGCTACATGGGCTTTTCTCTGGTGTGGGTGTTTTCCATGTGTAACGTGTATACGAGTCAGTTTTCCTTAGAAAGTCCTCCACGAAGGAATACCTCCTCTGAGTCAGATAGCCCTCGAGGCTTTGCCATAATAAAATAAACCAAACCAAGAGCTTCTTCTCTCATCTAGGTTGTGAAATTAAATTAAATTATTTAGTACAATCTGATTATATAGCTAAGATGAATATAAATTTCTCATTTACATTTTGAATCTTGTGCTTATTAATCATAAACGAATTCTCTTTTCTGTTTCTTAAATGATGTAAACGTGCTAATCATTCCTTGTAATTGTGTAAATGTTAATATTTACATTATAAGTCAGAGTCAAAATAGTACATCATTTTTCAAGTTTTTTATTACTTTTATATGTAGTTAATATGAAGTATGTATCTTTGGGTTCGTATTTTCTAAACGTAATAATAATAGTGATAAAGCATTTATTCTAAAATGCAGATTCTCTCACGAATTCGAAGCGCGGCTCTCACCAGTTTCAACATTTCTTAAATTCATTTTCATTTCAAAAAAAACATTTCTTAAATTCTCAGTTTCAACATTTCGTTCTTCGTATATTCCTTCATAGATTTGAGTTGTGCACTCATATTATATACTTATCCCTAAGAAATAAAAATGGAACTCATAGACAAAAACTACGAACTTTTCAATGTTACGCAAATAGAACGTCGCTTTAAAGAGGAAATGAAGAAATACCCACTTTTTTTGTTACATTAGCCAAGAATGAACGATCCAGAGGTATTTCCGAAGAGGACAAAATATCAGGCTTGCACGTTTCTTAGAATTATGACTAATGCTCATAATTTTGTAAAAAACATGTTTTTACAAGAGGATTTGAAACTTGAATTCATGGACGAGTTTCTTGGAAAACAAATGAAAATTTCTACAAGAATGCTCTCAGCTGGGAGCGTTGTAAATACTTCAATATGTTTCATTACTAAATACTAAATGAAGACAGGTATCTTCGCCTATTTGCAGAGCATATGATTAACCAAAATTTTTCTTCTTAATCATACAAAAATTACGAATGGAGATGAACTTTGTAAGTTCTTCTGACTTATGATTCCTAATTATTGACTTGTTCTCCCACTAGATGGTGCCACATTACTGTAAAACGTCTCGCTGATTATGTCACCAAAACTCTTCAGTTGTCTTGAATGAACAGTGTGCATATTTTGTATATCATACCTCCTTGTGTCTGTGTTTATTTTAATCTGAGGATCTGAAAATGTGTTTTATAGTTTGAAATATTTCATCTGAAATCAATCAAGCTATTTGCTTGTAATTTCGTATGTTTCTGCAGTTCATGCAGATGAAGTGACACACGGTCACATCTCTTTTCTTACTTTCGATCCTGACTTTTCATGGCACTAGCTGTGCAGAAATATTTTACGTTCTGTGCTCTTATGGTATTTATTTGCAAGAGCTGGAATACATCAGCTAAAATACCCTATAATCGCGGCATACAGAGGAAGTTGGAACTGGAGATTTTCCAAATGTAGAATGATTGGCAGCATAATGGGAAAAGCAGCTGATTTATCAGCTTTCGTTAAAAGTCAAATTATTATGGCTGGGTGCCTAGGAACATCGAGTTTAGAAACGGCTGGTCGGCTGCTCACGCTGTGAGTATTTATCGGAAGTGGTGCATGGACGATAAAACAACAAGTCGCTGTCTAGCGGTTCGTCGGTTACCACGTATTGATTCCAGACGAAAGTGGAGATTGTTACGCATTGTACGTCTTTGATCGAAGGCTGCAATGGCCGAAATCACTATCTCATTAGCTTTAAAAGTGGCAACCCAGATGATGTGTATCAACACACAGTGTAGCGTATACTGGTGCGTATGAGCTCACGTTGCCGGCGCCCGAATCGCGTCCCTGTGCTGACGGCACGTCATCGTCAACAGCCCCTGTAATAGGTGAAAGAACAGGAGCATTGGACCACAGAAGAACGGAAGAAAGTGTCCTGGTCCAACGAATCAGTTTTTCTGGTAAGTCACATTGACGGGCAAGAGCCAATACCCCGATTTACAACGGAAACTTGGTGCCTACCTGCACAATTGGCCAAATAAAAGACGGTGGTGGTAGTATTATGGTGTGAGCTATATTTTCATGGTGCACATTAGAACCCATCATTCCCATAGAACAATCTTTGACAACTGTGTGCTATGAGAACATCATTTCAGCTAGGTGCACCCCTTTATGCCGCACTGAACTCAGCGAATTATGGCATCAAGATAATGCACCATGTCATAGGGCCGAATTGCCAGAAAGTGATTCGAGGAAACTTGTGAATTTCAAGTCATGTCTTGCCCTCCGAATTTACGTGGCGTGAATCAAACCGAACATTTGTGGTTCCCTCCCTGGGAAACCGAATTCATGCTGCCACGCTACTACCTGCTAATGAGCGGGAATTGCAGAACCAGTTGGTTATTGCCTGGTACCAGGTACCTCAGACTACCTACCTATCGACATCTTATGGAGTCAATGCCTCGCCCAGTGTCGGCATTTTTATTGCAAAAGGTGGTTCTACTCAGTCGTAGCTAGGGTTTTCAGCGCCCAGGGACAACTGAAGATTTCGCGCCCCCTACTGCTTGCCAAGGATGGAAATCATTTAATTCTAAAATGTCGTAATATCAGTTTGGCGCCCCTCGGATTCTGCACCCGGGGACAGATGCCCCCCTTGCCCCCCTCTAGCTACGCCCCTGGTCCTACTTTATATTAAACATGTAGTCATAATGGCTCTTCAATATATATTCTATGTATTTAAAAATTAAAGAAAAACATGTAATGGAATTCTATAAAAAATTTTTAATAATTTAAATTAGATATCATATATCTCACATTCAGTTCAGTTTTATGTGGAACTCTAGATTTTTTGATGGAGCACATAAAAACTGTTATTTTTAATGGAACTCATAAAACATACTTAATATTGTAATCTTTGGTCGAATCACTAAAATTATTATTTGTTTTCTGCGGAATCCTAAAATTATAATTCCTTGTGAAAACACTAAAACTATAATTTGTTGTGGAGCCCCTAAGACTGTACTTTCTTGTGAAACTCCTGAAAATTTCTCTTATGGAGCCCTCTAACTATAATTTTTTATCGAAGTAATTAAACTATAATATTTTACGGAATCCTTAAAAATTACATTCCTTGTGGAACAACTAAAACTATAATTCCTTTTATGAACCCCTTAAAACTAAAATTTTTAAAAGACATATAAAAATAAAATTTTCTGTTAGGGAAAACTTAAAACTATAATTTTGTTGGAACTACTAAACATTAAAACACCTTTAAAATCATTAAATCTTAATTTCTTGTGTAACACCTAAAAATATAATTTTCTTTTGTAACATAATTATCTTAAAACTGTGATTTCATAATTCATAATTTTCATATTTCATAATTTTTGTGGAGCGTTTTGTGGATATACGGTCTATATCTTCTGTACACTTTTGTCGCTATATATATTATATATAGTATGTATATTTTTGTCGTCATATAATATGCGCTCTATGTCTTCTGTATATTTTTGTCTATTTAGAAAACGAATAAAAACATGTTACGTAATTCTATAGCAGTACTGAATGATTTTAAATTGAGATACCTTGAATGAAATGCATTTTTGTTTAAATTAATCAGATTAAAAAGCTAAAAAAAATTCCTTAAGAAATGCTTCGATTGATTTTAAATAGGTCAGGTTAAGTTATAACAGACAGAATAAATATGGTGGAATAATATCTTACATTTTGCCCAATGGCAAAACCATTGTATGAAAAGTGACACAATTAAAGTGAAACAATACAAAATAGTGTTTCGAGACAAATAACCCTTCTGGGCTAGGAAAAAAACTGCACAAAAATTTACATAAATTCACAAGCTAAAAAAAAAAAAAAAATGCTGAATTCTGTTCGACCCGGATTTAGTCCCAAGCGAACGAGCTGTGACTGTAGTTTTCCACATGTGTAGCGTGAATAAGACCTAGTTTACCTTAGAAAGCTCTCTTCGAAGCCCCCAAGCAGATAGCTCTCGTGTGCTTCAGCATACACAAAATAGCCTAACTTAACCTGCATTTCTTACTCTTAAGTTGTAGTTTTATGGACTCCACAAAAGAAAGTTGCAGTTATAAGGGTTTTGTAAAAGAAAGTTGCAGTTTTAGTGGTATCACAAAAGAAAGTTTGTAGTTTTTGTCTACAAAAGAAGGCTGTAGTTTTGCGGGTACCACAAAAGAAGTTATGATTTTAGGAATTCCACAAAAGAAAAAAAAAAAAAAAAAAAAAAAGGAAATTGCAGTTTTAGAGTTCACAAAAGAGACCATTTCATGCTTTCAGTTTGAATACATTTATATTTTAACAAATATTCATATATTAAATGTACATTATCCTTACTTTAACACTGAGTACATTTATACGTTGGCATACATGAAAGGTGCGTCGTACATTGCTTTTAATTTGAGTACATTTTCAGATATGAAAGGTACATTATATGTTACTTTCCTTTTGAGTATATATATTCGTTATCGCATATATAAAATACATTATACGTTCCTACATTCATTTAAATACATAAAGTTCATGTGCACTCTTCCTTGCCTTGATTCCAGTTACAACACAGTTATCTATATCATATCTCCTTTGTGACTCAGTCATTCTAACTGCAAATGTGATTTTCCAGGTGGATTTGAAGCACCTAGAAGAGATCCCGGACAGCGATACCGTGCCCATCGGCATGGACCTGAGCGAGTTCTATCTGAGCGTAGAATGGGATATCATGGCGGTTCCGGCACACCGGCGGGTGCGGCACTACTCGTGCTGCATGGAACCCTACCCGGACATCACCTTCAACATCACTCTGAGGAGGAAGACCCTCTTCTACACCGTCAACCTCATCATCCCCTGTGTAGGCATTTCAGGACTGTCCGTCCTAGTCTTCTACCTGCCCTCGGACTCCGGGGAAAAGGTGAGAATGTCCATGACGATGATAATCGAATGGATGAGCTAATTTGTGGTATATTAGGAATGTTTTGTTTATATTTGTTTGCTTGTTTTTTCACTACATGTTAGTTTTCATTTATTTTGCATCGCTTCGTTGTTTGTGTAGTTTTATTTATTTACTGATTTTTTGTTTATTAAAAGCAGTCGAAACCAGTCTAATAAAACTGATTGAGTACGTTAATAACATACTTCTAATGTTTCAAAACATATAAATTATTTGTGTGAAAATTCTTTCAACATAGTATTTATAAAAAAATATATAAATTAAAGAACATTACACATTTTAAATCACAAAAGAATATTTTTGAAGGGCATTTCAGGGGGAAAGGTCAACTTCAAATTATTCTAATTTATTTATTAACTGATTCCTCAAGGCAAGTTAAATTGACATAAGAAATCCAAACTTTTGAAATATCTTGTTTAATTTTTGTCGTACTGATTTCAAACTTTTGTATTTTATTTATTTTAATGTATGAAACATTAGCCTAAGTATATGTACAGAGACCGCAGTGCAGTATGCAAAATCTTTGATTTAATAATTTTTACAAAACATTGCATTTAATTTATTATTAACTTATTTTTATAAAGTGTAGAATCGTTAGATTATATCGATGCTAGAATGTGAAAAATGTACAGTGCCCTTACCGGGAACATATTTCGTAAATGTACATTAGTATCGCCACCGAGGAAGTGGCTTCTAAAATAAACAAACGGAAAGTCCAGTAATATTTCTGTCATTTACCATGACCTTTGGCGAACTTTAAACAACATGATTGAAAAATCTTGCCAAACAATTTCCTGTACAAAGTAATTAAAGCATCATACATTTCTTGTGACAATTTTCAGTGCGAATTTCGATCTAATATGAGCAGAATTATATACACTCATGTCCATAAATTAAGGATAATTCGGAGTCACGCGGAAATCGAACTCTAAAATAAATATATCACCTGTAAAATTACTGCACACATCTTCAAGAATCATATGCAAATTTCAGGAAGTAACCAGATGACACCGATGTTACGTCAGAATGACGAGAGTGTAAGAGAGTGATATATAAGGAATACAGGCAAAGAAGTAAAATTGTTCGCAGGCGCTTTATAAGCATTTCAGTGCAATAACCGAATAGTTATGACACAAAGGACGCATTCGGATGATTTTTTACGTGGTAAAACTATCGGCCGTCTGAAATGTGGGCGTACCCAACTGGAAGTATCAGACGAACTTGGAATTGCCCAGAGTGTCATGTCCAGGCTTTGGCAACGATTCCAAGATGATGGTAATGTGAGTAGACGTTACAGCACAGGTCGCCCCAGAGTTACAACGCCGAATAAAGACCGGTATTTGGCAGTTATTGCCAAAAGAAACAGGCGGAACACAACCTCAGACCTGCCTCGTCAGCTCTCTTCAACCACTGGTACGACAATTTCAAGGCAGACCGTGTACAGAGGCTTAGGGCAGATTGGTCTATATGCTCGTAGACCTGTCACATGCGTTCTACTTAATGCAACTCACTGTCGCCTGCGGTTAGCCTGGAGTAGAGAGCATGCATTGTTGACACCACAACAGTGAGCTTGTGTAATGTTTTCGGACGAGTCCACGTTGAGCTTACAGTCTGATTCTCGCCGGACTTTCATATGGAGAGCTCCAGGTACCCGTTACCACGAAGAAAACATCATTGAACGACACCGTTACGGTGGTGCAGGAGTGCTCGTTTGGGGTGGAATTATTCTGGGTTCCAGAACTGACCTGCATGTTCAAATTGGAACCATAACAAGCCAAATCTATCGGGACGTCATTCTGGAACAACGTTTGTTTCACGTTTGTTTCGGGGCGCCATGGGTGCACAATTTGTGTTTATGGATGAGAACGCCCGTCCTCATCGTGCAAACATCTTAAGCGAATGCCTTCAATCGGAGGATATCACCCGTATGGACTGGCCAGCATTCTCACCGGACTTGAATCCAGTAGAGCACGTGTGGGACATGCTTGGCCGACGAGTTGCAGCCCGTCAACCTCCTCCTACATGTCTATCGGAAATTCGGAGATCATTGCTTTTTGAGTGGTGTAATATCTCCCAAAATCAGATCGATAATATGATACTCAGCATGCCTAGGCGTTGTACGGACTGTATTGCATCGTCTGGGAGACATGCAATGTATTAACAATCATACCAACCATGTAATGTTGGTTTTTTGTAAATAGGTCCTTTTTTTTTTTTTTTTTTTTTTTTGTAATTTGCTCCAGGGAGAAAAAGTCGCTAATTTTTTAATATTATCAAACATATAGCATCTTTTTTTGCTTTTTACCTTTTGTTTAATAAATAAGCTTTACAAATAAGTCAAATTTGTTTTGTTTCTAACTCTTCCTTCGCCTGATTTTGCATTATCCTTAATTTATGGACATGAATGTATATGAAGTAGTAAAAGTCTTAGTATTTTTTACTGCAGTCTAGTATATGAAAATGATTTCTATAATAATAACAGCCAATGCACTGTTTTATTCAAGCTGAACTTTCCTAATTTGCATTTCTACACATTTAGAGTGTTAAATTTCACATTAATAAAAGTTCACTTTTAAATATATTGTTTGCACATGAAATACTCTTCAAACAGAATGAATTGATCTTATGCCAACGAATACATTTAATTTATTCATTTATAACTTTCACTTTCAAAAATAGATATCATCAGATCATTCAATATATATATTTTGAAGCTTACACTTTCAAAATGAAACGAATGCAACTATCGCGATAAGAAAACAGTATCAGGTATTTTCTCCCTCCTTCTAGCATGCCTTCGTGGAGCAACAGTAGCACACTCGGCGCGTATTCGAGAGGTCCAGATGCTACTCCCATCGACGGAATTGCACATTATTCACATCTCTTGCTTGAATATCACATTGGCACCCTAACTAAAAAACGAAAAGTTGGTGGATGATAATTCATCGCCACTGGGATTTGGCGATTGGCTCCCCTAATCCCCAGTGGCCCTTTAAAAGGGTGAGTATATAAGATATTTTCTCCCTCCTTCTAGCATGCCTTCATGGTGTAACAGCAGCACACTCGGCGCGTATTCGAGAAGTCCAGGTTCGAGAGGTTCGTTCGGCGCGGGCATTGCTCATTTTTCACGTACTTCTGCTTTAAAATAACCTTATGACTCTACAAATTCATTGTAAAATTTTCAGCTATTCTCAGCTCAATAAAAAATTATACACTTGATTTCTCTTAATCCACAGGTGTTAGTAAGTGCATAACATCACACGCTAGGCGTAAGCTTGAGTCAATTCAACGATATAGAGAGCGATAATATACGACGAAAATTTTTTTCCCAATGGCGTGCACTTGCCTATGCCGGCGTCGGCCGCTCCTAAGGCCAGATGTGGTGGTCTCTTTATTATGGAGGCATCTAATAGGTGGGCCACCATTGCCTCCTATCCCATTATACGCCTTATATTTATAACTGCGAAACAAATTTAAAATAAAATGTAAACAACAACGGCGCTCATATGCGCAGTTTTAAAGAGCAGTAGAAGCTCATTGTTCCATTTTTGACACCCATTCCCCCCAGTGGCTATACTCATGTGCGCTTGCAAATTAAACTTAGCGGGATTTGATCACCAGATCTTCCGAATACGCGTCGAGTGTGCTTTCAGTTGTACCACAAAAATAAGCTAAAAAGGAGGGAGAAATACCATATAAGCATTTACAACTTATACTCTTGCGTCGAATAGTAATTCTGCTAATGACGTTTGTAGTTCTTATAATGCACATAACGCTTAAAATTCCTCCTCACGTTTTCATAATATAAAATCTGTCTGTTTACGGTCCTCGTATTAGAATGGCGTCGACATGGATGACGCAGTTTCGGTTTTAAATATCCTTAATAAAATTCAACGACTCTTGGTGTATTTAAATCAAACTGAAGACATTTAATAATATAACATTCACACGTAAACATTTAGTAATAATTCAGCAATACAGATAAGTTTTAGAATAAGAATTACAACCGTTACAGGCCAGCTACGCTTTTAGCGACCGAATTCTACAAACGACAAATCTCAAAAGTGTGTTGCCAACGCAGGGCAACGAAAAGGTAGAAATTAATTCGATAGGCGGGGAAATGAACACTGTCAATGACGCTTATAACGTTTATAACTTATTCTCGCTTTTGCGTCGAATTTAAATTCGATCGATGACACTTATAATGTATATAACGCTTATAAAGTATTTTTATAACGTTTGTAACTTATTCTCACTTTTGCGAGAATCCCGGTTTAAATTCTGTCAATGGCGCTTATAACGCTCATAACGCTAGTAACTTATCCTAGTTTTTGCGTCAAGTTTAAGTTCTATTTGTGACACTAATAACGCGTATAACGCTTACAAATTATCCTTTCTTCTTTCGTGTCGTATCACTTGTGGCTTACTTGTATCACTTGAGAATCACTAGTGTCACTTTTCAAGTAGCGCACAGACGTTTAGAACACTCAAAAACAGCATGTTGTCCAATGTTTAGCGTATATTGCATACAACGCTTACAACTTATCCTGTCTTTTACGACGAATAACTTTTCACATAGCGCCCATAACGTATATAACACTAGTAATTTCATTTCACATATGTAACATTAGTAACGCTTAAGGCTAGCTTTTAAGCGAATTTTAGAATATAATACTAATAATTTAACAATTATTAATATATAACACTAATAATTTATTTTTACTTTTACGTCGAATCGCTTTTAAAAATGGCGTGGATGCTTAGAGCGATCAAAATATGATGTTTTCCAATGCTTCTTTCAACATGCATCGCTTATAAACTTATATCGCTTGTGTTTGTTTTTTCTTCTGCGCAATTTTCTGATTATTTCCGATAAAATAATCATTTCGTGAAAAATATTGTCAGAGTTTCAGAAAATCAGACGTGACTTCTTTTGTTCGTTGCTAGGTGTCCTTGTGCGTGTCCATCCTATTGTCTTTGACTTTCTTCTTCCTGGTCCTCTCGGAAATTATTCCGTCGACTTCTCTTGCGATGCCACTACTCGGTAAGAAAATTTTCATTCATATTTATTTCCTATTTAATTGGATTTATTCGTTTTTTTATCCCGAAAGGATTATTAGTCTGGAAATAAGATTTTGCACTGATTCACTTTAAATGTCTATTTCTTTGTCAAACAATAAATTGCGTTTCAGTGCATTAAGCAGTTGTGGGTTTCGATTTAATGCAACAAGCAACTGTGAATAAGGAAGTTAATGCGTTAAAGAGACATGAGCTACAATGTTTGAAATCATTAAGCGATTACAGTACAATGCTTTAATGCGTTAAGCACTCGTGATTGTCTTTTAATGCATTAAAACTTATGTCTTATGTTTCAACGGGTTATGTTCAATTATGGGTTATGCTTTAATGCATCAAATAGTTATAGATTATGATCTAATACTTTAAGAAATTGTAAATTTGGTTTTTAATCCGTTAAGCAAATATGCTTGAATGCATTAAAGAGTTGAGATATGTTTTAATGTGTTAAGCACTTGTAAGTTATATTTTAATGCGTTAAGCAATTGTGGATTGTGTTTAAATGCGTAGCGTGCGAATTAGATTTTTAATGCGTTAAGTAGATATGAATTGCATATTTAAATATGTAAGACAATTGTAACATATGCGTAAAGGCCTTAAGCGCTGATGAGTTATCTTTTAATGTATTAAGCAACGATGAGTTAAGTTTTAAGGCCTTAAATCATTGTGAATTACATTTTAATGCGTTAAGTAGATATGAGTTATATTTGGATGCATTAAGCAGTTATGAGATAAGTTTTAATGCGTTCAGAACTTATCTTTTAATGAATTAAGCAGTTATGGTTTGTATTTCAATGCGTTAAGCAATTATAAGTTGCTATGTTCTAATATGTGAAGCAACTGTAAATTTGGTTTTTAATACGTTACGCAGGTATTTACTATTATGTCTGGATATGTTAAACAGTTATAAATTATCTTTTAATGTGTTAAATAATTCTGGATTATGTTTCAATGCGTTAAACAATTATGTATTACGTTTCAATGCGAGAAACAATTGCGAATTAAATTTGTTATGTTTTAAGTAGGTATGTGCTATGCATAAATGCGCTGTACAATTGAAAATTAAGTTTTTAATACATTAAGCAGTTAAAAATTAGGTTTTCAATGTGTTAAGCAAATATCCATTGTTATGTTTAGATGCATTAAGCAATCACTATGTAAATGCTTTAAACACTGATGAGTTACCCTTTGATGCCTTAAGTAGATATGAAATTTTATGCTTATATGCGTTAGGCAATTACAGGGTATGTATAAATGCTTTAAACACTGATGAGTTATCTTTTAATGTTTACGTGGATAGGAATTGCTTTGCTTAAATTTGTTAAGCGCTGATGTGTTAGTTATCTTTTAATGCATTAAGCAACTATGAGTCATATTTTAATGCATCAGACCTTTGTGAAATAGATTTTAATGCATTGATATGAATTGTTATGTTCGGATGTTATCATGAGTGTAATCTGATGTTTCAGGCAAGTACCTGGTGTTCACTATGATCCTGGTAACCCTGTCTGTGATCGTGACGATTGCTGTGCTCAACGTGCACTTCCGGTCTCCCTCGACACATAAAATGGCGCCCTGGGTGAGGAGGATCTTCATCCGATTGCTGCCCCGAATCCTGCTCATGAGGCCGCCCCAGTATAAGATTGAGACCGACGATGCCAAGGCAACCGCCGCCGCCACGCTAACAGGGGGTCAGTTACCTATTCATATATTTGTTGCCAGTGCACCCTTTCTCTAAGTGCTTTAAGTATAAGTAGTCTGCTTGAGATTTTCTAAATGTCGTAATAAATACCATAATACCTAACACAATGCCGCAATTTGAATTATGCCATTTATCGAGTTAATCTCCTAAACACAATACCGTAATTTTAGTTACATCCTACCACAAATTTCATTATTCGAGTCTTTTATAACAAAATTCTGGAATTTCGGATATATGCTCTCAAAATTTTTATTATTGGAGTTACTCTTCTAACAAAATTATGTTATTTGAATTATATCGTATCAAAAATGTTATTTACTTTCCTAAAAAAATACCGTAATTCAAGTTATATCCCAACAAAAGTGTCATTATTTGAGTTACTTTCCAAGCAAAATACCATAATTTGAGTTACATCCTATTAAAAGTGTCATTATTCGAGTTACATTTCTAACAAAATACCACAATTCCTTTTATATCCTATCAAAAGTATCATTATTCGAGTTACTTTGTAAGGAATGTTATTTTAGTTTTAAACTAATCAGTTTTGTTCAGCTACTTATCTTTTCTGTCATCCCTCATTTCCCTTTCCTGCCAGAAGACAGAGCATGTTCTGCCGTGGGTCCACGTTGTTTCACCAATATTTAAGCTTGCTATTTTACGCCAGTGCATTTTTAATTACGGCATATTTTGAAAGCGGAAAGTTAAAGGGAAATTCTTGGATGTCCTGTGTAATGGACATATTGCTAGTTGTCTTCAGGATATGGAATGTAATGGTGAAATTTCAGTATCTCCTAGTATGTTGGAATTTATGAGGATATGAGAAGTCATAAGATTATCCTATATTTCCCAAAGAGGTCTGATAACTTCGGGATGTTCTAAGGATGTTACATATTATGGCTACATCCTGGATGCCCTGAGAAAATTTGATGATTTTGGGGCTTCTTGAAGATGTGAGAAGTTATAATGATATTCCAAGATGTTATGAGAATATGGGAAAGAACGGGGATATTCCGGGATTTCCTGAGGATTCCTCACAGCATCCCGTATATTCCAGAGACATCTTCAGAATTTACTCGAATGTGACATTACCTTCTCGAGATAATTATTTCGGAAGTTAGAGGGACACTTCGAGATCTCTTAATGATCCATGAGCGACAACTTTAGGATATCCTGAGAAGGAGTTTTTTGCTATTGTGGATTAATGTGGTCATTTCTTCCGGCAGGTTATCCAAAGGAGAGCGTGGCCAACAGTACGGCCCTAGGCGGCCGCCGAGTTTCAGAGGAGATAGTTATCCATGACCTGGAATACAGCCCCGGCATAGTGGAGAAGAGGCTACCCCGCCAGATCGAGAGGGCGATCCACAACGCCATGTTCATCGCTCAGCATATCGACAACAAAGACGACTTTGAAAGTGTGAGTCTTCTTTTTGTTATTATTATTGTGTTTTTAACGTGCTAAGGGAACTGGGAATGATTTTAAGATGGGGTAGAAACTGAATTTGCTTTGAAAATTTATGTGGCTGTAGTGTCGCCAGCGAATGTGGTGAATCTGAATGAAAATTTGTCTGCTCCGCTGAAAATTGTTGGAGGTCTTTTAAGGTCATGATGTTTTTGCAGGTCTTCCAGTCATTGCAGGAAACATTTGCAATACCCAATGTGCAAAACTTCTGCATAGAAAAGAATTATACTACTTACACCTCTCTGAAGTTTTATTGAAAACCGAAAGTAAGTGTTTTAAGTCTGACTGACAAAACCGAGACCAGACTTCAAACTGGTGTTTCGTTTTGTCAGACAAACTTTATCATGCTTAAGATAAGTGTCCCTTATGTCAGTCATACTTGACACAATATCCTCTTTTGTCAGTTAGACTTTAAATAAGTGTCCCGGTTGGTTCATAAGAGTTAAGATTTTTGTCTCGGATTGTCAGTCAGACTTAAAATACATGTTCCAGGTTTATAAGTCATACTTGAGACAGTTATTCCCTTTGATCAGTCAGACTCTAAGACAGCTATTTCGATTACAGTCAGACTGCAGACAAGTGTCCTGATTAGTCAGCGAGATGGCACAGTTTATATTTCAGAATAAAAAATGGCAACCTTAGTCACAATCTTAGATGGAGTAAATTATCAGGCAAGATATAATAACCAGTAAATATTGATGTTGGTACCTCCAAATTTGCAATTTTGATGGAAAATAATATAATTTCAAATGTAAGATCGTAAATATAAAATAGACTTCCGTAATTTTTTTCAATTTCGTAAAATTTATCAAGGATAATGAGGATACTTTGTAGAGGCATTAGGTATATTTTTTGAAGCAGGAAAGATGAAAAAATAAGCAACACCTTCACCGGGAATCGAACTACGTATCTCTGGAATACGAGCCCAGCGTGCAGACCACTACACCACGAAGGCACGCCAAGAAGGCGGGAGAAATACCTTATAACTTTAAAGCTGAGATTGCGAAAGCTACTTTCTTTGGGTTGCCAAACTACACCAGGAAAACATTAAAAATTTGCTGAGATCGACAAACTCTTTCACTTTCAAGAGCGAAAAGAATATCTAATCTTCTCGAAACGCACATGGAATAATCCTCTGTCACCGCGATATCGCGGGCGGAAGCAAACGAGAGACGAGAACATTCGGATCGTCTGCTTGCATTCTATGAAGTTTTTCTGTCAGTCCAAAGAAATGGACCCTCATGAATGATTCAAGGAACGGGAGGGGCGTGAATTCTCTGGGAGAAAGTTGTGATTTATCTTCGTCGGCAGCAAATCTTTTCTTTTCTGTGTTTGGGGTTGATGTACTGGGTGCTTTGTTTCTTTTAAAATATCATTTGTCTTCTATGCTACAGTAGTAATCTTTAATCTAGGTTAATTCTGGAAGCCCTAAAATTATCATTTTCTGTTTTGGAAACCTATAACTAATTTTTGGGGGAACACTAATTATGCTTGCGAAATCCTTAAAACTGTAATCCTTCAGAACTCTAATTTTTTTTTTTTTTTTTTTTTTTTTTTTTTTTTTTTTTGTGTGTGTGTGTGTGTGTGTGTGTGTGAAATTTTTAAAAAAACTATAATTTTTATGGAACCCTAAAATTTTGTTTTTTTATGATGGAATCCATAAAATTATAATTTATATTGGAACAATTAAAACTCAACTACATTTTTGTGCAGACCTTAAAACTGTAACTTCTTGTGGAGCCGCAGGAATTATAATTTTCTTTTGTACAACCCCTAAAACTAAATATTTTGATGGAAACACTTCAATATAACTTTCGGTTGTGGAACTTTACAACTTTTCTTGGATTATCATGATAAATGACTAATAATAATAATCACTATAAAGAAGAAAATGATGAGTCATGATAATCATGATAAATCATATTAGAAATGTGTATCAAGATAAACATGATAATAATGAATCCCGATAAAGATGGGTCATGATAAGGATGATCATGGGAAAGATTAAGTTTCATAAGAGATAAACAATGAAGTTTTACTGAAGATAAATCGTGCACAAGAATGAAGAACCAATCATAATAACGATTAGTCATTGTGTCATAAATATCATGATAATCATGATAAATACTAATAATGAATCACGATAAGACGGAAAATTATGGGGATAAATAGAAAATCATGACTAGAAAGGCGAAGGTGAAAATAAATCGTGATACGATTATGTACTCTTTTTGTCATTTTGTCGGTTTACGTAAGATGTAAATACGAATCTTTCTGGAGATCATGGTACTCGAATATTTATTCCAAATATTTAGCAAAAGTCACACCCAAAACCTCCTATAATCACCTCAGACACTGAGGGACCATCTTCGAAACACCACCTAATAATAATAATAATAATAATAATAAAAATCTGAAATGTTTCAGATTTTAAATTACGTCCAAAGGGGCGTTTTTTAACATTTGTTGTGTTACCTTTCTTTACTAAATATCATGTTCCTCGCACTTAAACCATAAGATCCAGTGCAACAGCAATATCGCAAAATAGTTTTAAAACGAGCATATCTTTAGAATTTCCGATACAGAGACTCACGTGCTGGAGATAAAAATGTTTTTTTCTGCACAACGTTGCCATTGCTCGCTTTGAAATCCTTGAGTTTGTTAATCAAAAATTCGTCAAAGTTTTAAAAAATAGGAAATCGATCATAAAACAAATTTCAAATTTCAAATTTGGTCTTCCACATGCTCATATTCGTTGGAGGATTACGTTATTCAAAATTCGATGACTCTATGTACCGTTGTTTTATCACAATACGAGAAATATACATACATTTAAGCAGATTTTTCATTATTTAATTTCTTCAAATATAATGCAGGACTCATTTGTGGCAACAGTTTGAAAAGCAACATTTTGTGGCAACAGTTTGAAAAGTGAACCGACATTTATGAGTCCGACGCAAAATGCCAAAACGAAACTAATAGTCCTTCGGGATTCAAATCCCTTTGGACTAATAATAATAATACAAACGGTGATCGAAGAAAGGACGATAAATTGTGTTGACTAAGCTCTCCTCTTACAACCCTCTGAACTGTAAGATGGCAACGGTTATTCCCCGCTGCGGGAAGGGGGAAACTCTTTTAGCAGTAGTGGCGAAATGTTTGTGCTTTGCAGAAATTGCAAACACTATCTATGTAATCATATAACCATGTATTTAAGTTATAAGGGAGCGTTTAAAAAAGGAAAAGAGTTTTGAGTAAATAACATATTAAATGAAGTCTTTCTGAAGTTTCTGTATCATTAATTATGTCACGGTACTTTACCACGAATATGATTTTCAGCCGTTTTTGTTGAGTGATTTAACTGCTCGAAACTTAAAATTACAATTTATCTTCCTGGCACTTAGCCAGATCTCAGAGTGTCGCCATTCAGCGAAAAGTAAGATCTTTAATTTTTTTTCGAATTTAATAATACTGTAATTGCTCAATAAATAAAACAAAAATACAATAAATATTCTAAAAACCTTATTTATTTCTTTCCTTGTAAGGATCTTAAGTTTTACTAACGTTTATTTTATTTTAAATCTTTACTATCACTTCTTATTTTCTACTTCCGGCCAGAATTATAAGCGTTAAGGTTTTTATGCAAAGTTTGTCTGGCGAACGCCAAGTATTTTAGTTGTGGCTTTTTGCCAAGCGAGCGAGAGGAAGCAGTGAGTCAAAGCAGGCCGCTTACCTTAGAAGTTACGCAGTTGCTGTTTGCCTTCCAGGCCAGAGGTTTTAATCCTCTTGATAAATTTTAAACGTATTGTAGTATTCACAGTTCTCTGTACTACATACGCTTCCTGTTAATATAAGGCCAATCTTCCACGTTTCTTATTCTAAAGTTAAATTAGAGTTTAGTTTTATTTTTATACTTTTACGTTTTGACCCCAAGTAGCGGCTCAGTGTGTTCCGAAGTACGGAAGTTATTGTATATAGAGAAAATAAAGGGTTTTGTATACCCTTCGTCTGTATCCTGTCTACTTACCACAATTAGTGAACATAGCTTTACTAAGCTCTCTGTTCCGAGTCAGGTCCTTGTATGTTCCCGAAGAAGGTAAGAAGGAACATTGACCCTGATAGTGGCGCCCAACAAAGAAGAATAACCATGGCCGAGTTTCAAGAAGAACCTGTGCTGCCTGCAGAAACGGCTCAGAATCCAGAAATGCCAGCTGCCGCCCTGGAAGGATTTGGTTACATCGTCCAGACCATGCGCGCTTCGATGAAACCAGAAGCAACATTTAATGGAAACTCACCGGTAACCAGTTTTTTGGAAAAATTGGATGATCACTTCATGCTCTACCCCGTGCACGAGTTTCAAAAAGTTACCTTAGCTACGAGCGCTTTGAGGGGCCAAGCGCTTAACTGGTTCAAATGTATAGGCAGAAGTCTCTTGGGTCAAGCAGGCAGTCCCACCTATACTTACGAAAATTTCAAGACTGCCCTACTAAAAGCCTTCCCTGTTGTAAGGGATCGTGCGAAATTAGAAACGGAACTTTTCAGTATATATCAACAAAGAATCGAAAACCTCTCGAGCTTTATTTTAAGAAAAATTCACGTTTTCAATCTCTTGTATGGAAACCGTCCGGATCCTGAAATAATTCAAGTGATTTTGCCGAGGTTACTACCCCAAGTGCAAGACTTTATTGAATTGAGAAATCCAACTACACTGGAAAAGTTATTTGAGCTAGCAATCCAGTTTGAAAGTAGAAGAACGGCGGACGTCGAAACAAGACGCCAATATCAACAGCGAAACCAATTTGGTACGCCAAGACTACAGCAAACTCAAGCACACGGCTACGGAGAAAAAGCGAATCAGTGGGCAAGGAAACCCGAGCATTCAAAAACAGCCGGCGAACGTCGACAGTTCAATAGCAACCCAGGAAAAAAAGTCTCAAGGCCAGTGGAAAAAGAAG